TATTAAAATTCGTCATAGTAAAAATTTCATCATAGTCATGATGATAATTGAACTGTCTTATCTCTAAACCAAGATAGCTTTAGCTACAGGTTAGATATAAAGGCTACAACTTGCTGTTTCTGCTACTTGGAATACTTTCTGGTCTCTTTGAACAATAATTCTATTGATCTCGATGTCTAAGTTCATGCAGAATTGCTGGTTTTATAAGAATGAATTCCATATGGAATTCATGGTACTTAACCTGAAATTAGTTTTTGTTCAGTCCAAGACTAAAAGACACAGACACATATTTTATAAAAAGTTTACTTTTTTAATTATAAAATAAGAGTACTTTGTCAACGACTTAAAAAACAAAGGATTTAGATTATTTTCTCCCAATCTTTTATTTTGAAAAATTTCAAATGAACAGAATATAGAAATGTTGGTCAAGTGTCCTCCCAGTTACTAATGCTGAGCCACAAACTTACTCAGAATGTCCTGGAGTACAAGTATAAAGAGAAAACTGACAATTACGTAATTCACATAGTCTGTAAGGAGAAAACACAGATTATTCAGTGGTATCCAAGTTTAATGACAGAAGACTGAGAGAGAAAATTCTCCTGTGTTCATTAAGTAATGAATATACAGTGATACCACCTTCCACAACTCCACAGTAATCACACTGGTGGCTTCTGTAAATAAAACCTGCTAGTAAATCTACATGAAGGAACTACTCACAAAACATAGCCTCAATATTAGAGGGTACATGGTAGCAGCCATGGTGAAGAGCGTGGTCTCTAGTCTATCCACCTGGGTTTGAATCCTGGCTCCCTCACTTAATTGTATGACCTTTTATAAATCACTTCACCTTTTATAAATCACTTCGTTTCCTGATTTACAAAGTATTGTGATTAAGAATATCCCTTATCTCAAAAGGCTGTTACATGGCTTAAATAATGTGTCTAAAACAATACCTGGCACATAATACTCATTATGGCATTAACTATAGTTAATGCCAAAAGAAAGGTTTGCACATGATGTCATAATACAAGGAAGGGCACTTAAACCAACAGAGTCTGAGGGAAGTTTTCCCAGAAACAGGATGTCTGTGCACAGGTCTAGATCTTGGTCTTCACTACTGTTATTAAGACCTTGCTTAAATTATTTAAACTTTGGATCCTTATGACCTTGCTATAACAGAGATATGTCAGTTGTTGATAATGTCAGTTGTTGATACAATAAGCTAATGTTTGTAAAAGCTAATGTTCCTAAAACTAAATTAGATAGTATATGAGGATTAGATAGCAAATGTAACAGAGCATACAGAGAAACAAATGTTTCTTCTTGGATTTAGTAAAAAAGTGAATGAATTACTCTTGAGTTTAACTTTAATGTGTCCATTTTCCCTGCACTAAGTAGTGTACCATTTCTGAAGTACATGTACATAAATGTTCATTCAGGTAACAACCAAACTACCTGGAAAACCATTAGAGAATAGACTGCGACTTACACAAATTCTATCTGTATTGTTTTTTGATCACCACAGAACTGCCTTAGTAAAGTGATATCTATTTCTTGGCACATTGTGCCTATCTCAAAGAATAATATAACATATTGATCTTCACTAGGCAAAAACCCATTGCTCCCTCATCTGTATAACATTGTATATCCTTCATTTTACTTCACATAGAACTTTAATACAGACCCTAGTATGTTGTGATAACAATTTGTATTTATAGTTCAATTTGTACCTGCCTTAAAAAAAGAAATATGGCAACTAGTTATAGGCTTATGTATTTATCTCCCTCCCCCAAACTGTTAAGTTTCTTAAATAACTGGATCATATCCATGCTATCTAGACAGATGCTGGTACTTAATAAGACATAATATTTGGGGGCCTCCCTGATGGCCGAGGGGTTAAGTCTCAGCAGTACTTATGCTAATCCACATGGTGCAGCAGACCTCTCCTTTTTCCCTCACTTCTCTCCTTAGTAGTGTATTTCAGTAGACCTACCTGTTCTGCTCTGGTGAATCCTCTCACCACCTCTGGCCTACATCCAATTTCTTCTATGTAGAAATAAATAAAAATAATGAATATCTTTTTTTAACACTTAATGTTTGGTAAAATGATCTAACTAAGATTTGAAGTATGCTGTTAAAAGCAAATGAGTCATTCTTTTGGAGAGATGATAAAGTTGGAGTTTATCTAGGAACTGATGTGAAAATCTTAGACTCAGTCTGAGCCTCTCCATTGGTAGATAAGACAAAGTAGTTAACTACTTTGCCCAAGTTTATTTTTCCATTAGGCCAACATCCAGTGGGGAATCTCAAAACTTCCATCAAACAGTCCAGAGGCTGATCTGCACATTGACCTGTCAGACTGCTGTAATTTGATGAGCATCTCTACCTCATGAAACATGCTCTTTTTTTTTTTTTTTACATTTTAAAAGGACATGTTTATTAGGAAAAAGAGGAAAGGAGGCACCTGCAATAATCATACGTGGGCAGGAGAGCTGCCCAAAGCTGCTATTGTTAATCACCACTTTTGTATTGTGGTTTTCTTTCGCTCTTGATATAGCTCCCCTCTTTGTGGTCTGTTGCCTCCCTAGTCATTGGTGATACTTCCCTACCTTAGCAACAAAGGTACTGCACTCACCTAGTTCTTTTATCTCTTTGGCCATTCTCCCGCAGACTTCCGTGTGCTTCTTCTATTCATCTACCATCTCATCTTAAAGTTAGTGTTTGCTGGGGTTATATCCTTGGATCCTCTATTATTTCTTCTATATTTTCTCCCTGATTGATCTCACCCATGCCTAGGGCTTAAATTACCAATTATAAACTAGTGTTCTCCAAATCTATTTTAACTCAACTTGTCTCTTCTGTGCAATTTGACTGCTTGTGTGCAATGTGGAGGTTTCCTCCACTGAGTCATAGTTACATTAGTCTTTGAGGGAGCCTAATAAATTGCACCTTTCTTTTTCAGATAAAGGAGAATGCCGCAGGAGACCAACTGCTACCTTTACTACTTAATGTATTACTTTCTTACTGCTCTTGCAACAAATTACCATGAATTTAGTGGCTTAACACACACACAAATTTATTAAAGAACAGTCTTGTAGATCAGAAACCCTAAAATCAAGGCATTGGCAGGGCTGAGTTCTTTCTGGGAGATCTAAGGAAAAATTCATTTCCTTGCCTTATTCAGCCTCCAGAGTCTCCTTGTATTCCTTAGCTCCATCTTCAAAGCCAGCAGTGAATATTCTTCAAATCTCTCTTTCTCTGATTTTTACTTCCATCATCATACTTCTCTCACTCTGACACTCCTGCCTCCAGCACAAGTGGGTAATTCAAGATAATATCTCCATCTCAAGATCCTTTACTTAACCACATCTCCAAAGTGCTTTTTGCCATGTAGGGCAAAATATTCATAGGCTCTGGAGATAAGGGCATATGCACCTTCGTGGTGGGGCATTAGAATCTTAAAACTGACAAAAGTGGTATTGCATATTACCTGTGGAGAGGGTTCCAAAATACCAAACTTTGGAAGTAAGCAGATTTATTAATTTTATAATTCTGTACCAGGCATCCTCAATCCCATCCCCAGGCCCTATTCCTAGAGAAGCAGAGACCACCACCATGACAGTTCCTGAAAGTCAGTTTTCTTTTAAGAGAAACACAATGGGATGAGCTACAGTGCTCAGTTTTCTTTTAAATTTACCAATCAGGAAGTCACTAACTTGGGGGAAGAGTGAGCAGGGGCAGGTGCTGCAGAAGTCCAGGAGTATTATGTTAATGGACATCACACTATGTAAGGAGACATGAGAATATAAATTTCCCCAACAAACATATCCATATTTGAACTCATTCATACATAAATATTCTAGAACTGTCACTACTCTATCTAGTAACTTAGATTAGACATTTGTAGATAACCCAGACTCATCTATCTTTCCCTCTTGCTAAATGTTGTCATCATCTACCCCAGTATCCACACTAGAAATCTCCCCCACTCAGTGTTGTCAACTCTACAATCTTAACAGTGCTAACATCCATCTCTCTCACTATATTCCCACTATGGATGCCTAGGTTTAAGCTCTTTGCATTTCTTAAATGGAGAACAGTCATGGCCTCAAAATTGATCTCCTAGCCTCAAGCCTCTTCCTACCCATTTCACTCTCTATCCCTTTACTCATTAAGTTTACCGTGCCTGGAACTACATCTGAACTACATCCTTCTCAGTTTTTCTCTCCAACCTCCTATAACCTAGTTCTCCAGTTTTTCCAAAAGAGTCAAGCAACTATTCAACATCAAACGGGATGGAACTTGAACACAGGTTTCTCTGACTCCAAAGTCCAGAATTTTAACTGCTCTTGCCCGATTATATTCTTACAATATTTTAAAGTCTAAGGGCTTTATACCTTTTACAAAGCACCTTTGTCTTTACCTTTAGCCTCACAACTCCAATGTAGAAAAGATGGGTATTACTAACCCAAGAAGAAACTGAGTGTGAGAACTGAAGGCTCGGTCCATCACACCTTGCTAAGTTAGCGAGTGTCTCTCAGCAGTCCTGGACATTAACTGCACATTCAGCCCCTCCTGGTCTCGCTTTTTGGAGAACCTTCCAGCACTTCGTATAAGTTGTCGATGGGGTCCGCGCCAGTGTAGATGTGGCCACTGCTCTGTACACCACAGTAGTCCTGGGAACTCGCTGTGACAATCACTGCGGAGACCTCCCCATTTGCAGTGACGCGATCAGTGACGCCATACAGTGACGTATGCTGACATGTTTACCCAAAGCAAGGTACTGGCAGGGCAGCCACACCCTAGGGACCCCTGCTCGGAGGGCAGCGGGTCAGGGCCATAGGGAAAGAAAGCAAAACTAGCCTACGGCTATCTCCAAGCCCCAAACCCTCGAATCCCGCCGGCCCGTTGCTAAGTGACGCCAGCGCGCAGAGGCGCGTGCGCGGCCACGGCGGTGTGCGTGAGGGCGGACGCGCGCCGCGGCAGCGGCGGCGGCGAGGACGACGGCGACGACAGCGGCCAAGGGGGCGGTGGCTACGAGGGGAGTGCTGAGCAGGCGGAAGAGGAGTCTGTGCGGGCGGCTAGGTCGCAGAGGAACATCGTTGGGGTGAGTGGCCGGGGCCTCGCAGGGGAGGTGGGGCCTGGCCGCACCTGCTGCGCGGCCCCGGGGCTCGGGGACGCGCCCCTCCACCGTACCCGCGCGCGCCGCTCCACGCCCCTCCGCCGCTTTTTCCGGGGGCGGGGAAGGAGTGGGGACGGGGGCTGAGGAGGGTCAGTTTCTGGGCGCCGGCGCTCTGGGCAGCAGCAGTGAGGGGCCGGCGTAGACTGTAGTTCTGGAAGTGTAGTGGAGAGTGGTTGCCGGGGGCTTCGGGTTGGCGCTGTCAGGCCCCCAAATAGGATTCGGAGTCAGGAGAAGTCGGGGTTCCCATGACAGCCTCTCCTCCTGCCCAATACGCGGTCATCTGTCTCTGAGAAGAGGCCGAAAGCGGGATCTCTGGGTCAGGGTTGGAGTGTTTGGCACTGCTGGGGCCTTGGTTGCTCTTGCTCTGGCTGGGATGTGAGGAGGAGCCGGTTGTTATGGAGAGAGTTGTGAATCAGTGCCTGCGTGCGGCGTCAGACACACCCACGACCTGGGGACTGCGATCTGTTAGTGTGGATAGGGGGTGGCCAACTGTTGCCTGCAGTTTCCAACTTCACGTGCAGGGGCACGTGCTTAATGTAAAACTTGAGTCTGGCCTTTGACATTCTATCACATTGTTGCTACAGATTTTGCAGTCAAGAGGCTGATAGCCGCACTCAATTTTTACTTGCTCGCAGACTCGAATCAGATGTCTTGTTTCCCAGAACCTTGTTTTTCTTTTATTGTTGTAGGGCCAAGACAACATGGAAGTGTTGTTTTTTATGTTCCTTAAAAACAATACAGGTTTGCTATTTGCCAGGCAGAAAATTCACAAAAAGCCTGAGTCTAAGGTGCCACAGATCATCTGACCAGTGCTTTGTTCTCAATGTGCAGGGCTTTCGTGAGGGTCTGTGGGTCGGTGTGCGGTGGTGGTATCTCCGATGTTGGAGGAGGAGAATTTGAGCTAAGGAAGAAGTTCAGTCTTTCCTGACTGTTGACTAAGGCTGTTGCTAGAACCAGTAGAAAGATGCCATAATTTATGCAAGAATATAACTTTTGAGTCTTCATCCAGTTCTAAAATTCTGTGATTCAGTTTTATAGTTGAGAGTCTGTTGTATGTTACTGAGGTTTTTACATCTCGGAACTAGTAATAACCTGGGTCTGCAACACTTACAGTCCTCAGGATTCAGTGACCTTCCTTCTCTGGACTAAAGTAGTTTTTAGGAAAAGAATCGTATCTGTCTTCTCTGTGGTATTTTCAACATCTAGAAAAATTCTTGCCACAGAGTAAGCGTGCAGTAGATACTTGTTATATATCACACTGTGTAAAAGTGGTCTGTGAATGTATAAGAAGCATTTAGTTCAGCCCTTCAAGTAGATAATACCTGTGCTCTCTGCCCAGCATTACTAGGTGTGGGAAGAGGACTGTGGGATTACAAATGGCATAAAAGACTGGATTTTTTCCTCATTAAGAACAAATAGTCTAACTAGCACAATAAAGCATATGTACATAAAGGAATTATGAAACCAAATAGTAATGTGTAAAAAACAAAAACAAAAACAAAAAACCATGCTACAGAAGACTAAGTGCAAGGGGAATTTTAAACAAAATTTTATGGTATGAGTTAACTTTGCAAGAAGGAGGACTTGAGCTTAAAAAAGAAGTGTAAAATTTGAATTAGAAGAAATGTAAGATGTTGAGAAAATAGTGTGAACTTGGTCATTTGGGGATATATTGAGGAGGCCTATGTATCTGGTAGCTGGAACGGGAGATGTCTGAAAGGGGAGTATTGGAGAACATATGGATTAGAAGTTTGGGACAGGAATACATTAATACTAAGGCAGTATCTGCATCCCACTGATAAAATAGAGCCAGTTTGCTAGGTCTTACACAAGAAAAGGATTATTACTTCTTGAAATTAAAGGCTATCATGGTTGAACTAGTATCAGTTGTTGATTTGAATAACTTTCTCACTAATGTGACTTTTATGTAGTCAGCCACACATGTCCCATATCTAGTATTTATCTGATGTGCCTTGAACTGTTCAATTTGAAATGTATTAAAATAATGTGCATAAAGCATCATCCAGTCATCTTCAGTTTTGGGTGGGATTATCTAATGGCCTGTGAAGTTTGTAGTTATTACTGTTCCTGAAAAATACAAATGTTTGTTGGAAAGTTTGGAAAGGAGTCTATTGGAAATACTCAAAAATACTGACAAAAAGATTGATGAAAATAAAAGACACTCTTGCTGAATTTTGAATATTTTTGTTCCTTGCTTGAATTTTGTAATGAAACTTTTGAGTGTTGTATAAGCCTGAGGGTGAATTGCTACCTAAGACAAAGTTACAACAGCAAGTGTTGCATTATTTAACACCTCAGCAAATATTTACTGGGTTCTGGCTTTGACTAGTACTATGTTGGATTGTGGAAGAAAAGCAGTATACTCTCAGAGATACTGTGTTCATCAGAGGAAATGGACCACTAACCATTATGGAGGCAATTCTTTTGGTAGTAACATGCTAAAAGAATATATCACTTTTGGGGAAGAATTGATGAATCAGGAAAAGCTTTAAAGAGGTTGGAAGTTAGCCCTTGAATCTTAAGTAGAATGTTGCCACTGGTAAAAGTGAAAACAGGGTCCTCCGTGGTGGCACAGTGGGCTAATGAGTAGCACTGCAAGCACAACGTAGCCACTTCAGTGCGAGTTAGATTCCTGGCCCTGGAGCTGACCCACATGGCACGGCAGACCTCTTCTGATCCGCCTGCTGCTCCCCTCAGCAGTGTACTTCATCTTTCTGCCTGTCCTGCTCCCCACTCTGTCTCTGGTGAATCCTCTCACTTCTCCTGCACCTCTGACCTGTACCCCAGTTCTGTATGCATAAATAAATCTTTTTTTTTAAGTGAAAACAAACATTCCAGGTATAATACAGGGAGCATAAAGGAAACCTGCACAGACTAAAATTGAATGGTATATATATTTTAAAACCTTGAGTTGTTTCTTATAAGTTTGTATTATGGAAGAAATGATGAGACAAGAAAGATAGGGTTAAAGCCAAATTATGAGGAAGTTGTGTATTCTGTTTGGAAAAGACTAAACTTCCCCCTTAAATCCCATGCCCTGTGATAGAGAGCCTTGGAAGGTAGAAAAACCAGGTCACAACTTAACTTTGCAGATTTCATTAGAGCACTGAGACATTAGAGCACTGAGATGGGGGACCAGTCAGACTGTAGGTGGGGGATATTGAAGAGGTTCAGTGGGAATAGTTGGATTGCAGGGATATTTTAGTATTTCAAATTTTCTAAGTGTTATGACTAGCTAGAGTTGAGATGATAAGAAGCCAGAGATAATACTTCTATTTTGAATAACTGTTGATTGTTATCAAATTAGAAAGCTATAGATGGAGAAATGAAATGATGTCATTTTAATTTGAAGGCCTCTGTGGAATTGAGAGACCACTAGTAGTTGGAAATTTTACTCCAAAGTTTCCTAGACAGTTTAGGTATAAGAGTAGGTGACAGAACCTATCTTAGGAGTTAGTAGAGTAGTTACCCTGGACTTGGCATTAGGAAACCTTGAGGTCCAATCTCTATTCTGCCATTTTATGGTTGGATTGAGTGACTTTAGGCAGGTTATCATAAAATGTGTGTTGCTTCCTAAAAGTGGTGTTGCTAGTACTTTTACCAGTTGTGGAGATTAGGTGAAGTAGTATGTATGCAATGATTAGCACCAGATCCTAATTTATAAATGCTTAATGAATGACAGCTAGTGTTATTTTTAGTCTGTTGTAATACTTATATTTGTATAGTTGTAGAGATTGTAGAAGATATAATCGCCCAGAAAACTGGAAAACTGAGAACTGGAAAGGGCATAGTGGCACTTTTGGAAATCAATGCCATGTCAAACTTAGACTTGAGCATGTACCAGAAATACCTGGAGGCTTTGGTAAAGCACATATTTCTGGTATCCACCCTCATAGTTTCTAGTTCAGTAGGCCTGGGTGGGACTCAAGAAACTGCATTTGGAACAAGTTCCCAGGTGATGCTGATTGTTGATGCTGCTATTCACAGCAACATACTGTGAAAACCACTGACTTGGACGTGGAAGAAAGAAGAACCAATATAGAGACTAACAAAGAAATTGAGACTGATGGAGAGCCAGGAGCAAATTTAGAGAAAGATAAGGAAGTAACTCTTTAGATTCACTAGTCTGCTTTCTACTTTCACAGGCCCCACCTCATTCTTATTTCTGTTTTCTCTAAAACTTGGTATAATACTTGGCATATTAGCTTCATTTCAATTAACGAATGTTTCTTAGTACTGTCTTTGTACTGATTGCATGTATTTCACACCCAGATTTCATTCATCTTACATCTCTACTGAGTCTCAGAGAACTTTATGCACACAACTATAGAAATTTTCTTTCAAATAACTGATGTGTAACAAGGTGCTTTGTCTTTGTGTTAGAGGTCCTCCCTTTGCATTTTAAAATGTCAGTCCAGATTGCAAAATAATTATCAGTAGTAGTGTCAAGATTCAAATCTGCATCTTGTATTAGAAGCTTTGCAAGTTTACAAGGTAAGCAAGTAGTATACTTCCTTTATTTGGGAAATTTACAGTAGGATGAATGAAATAGCAAGAATCCTAAGGAAAGAAACAGAAAGAGATATAATCACAGAAATGTGAATGAGAGGAACTTGAAGAGAAGGACTTATTCCTGGTTTGCTGATATACATTGAATCTTATGTGTCAATTATACTGAACACTTTTGGCAAATAGCACAAATATTAATTCTATTCTCTGATAGGTATTATAAGGGAGTTCCACTGTATAAGGAACTCAAAAGTCATACAAAGATATAAACACGTCTCTAAAGAGGTTTCAGAACTTGTATTGGAACTTTCCTAATTAGCCATGCTTCCTGGGCTCTTGTTCTCAATTTTATTCCTTTAGGTAACATGTGGAACATGTTTACTGTTTGTCAGAAA